TTATTTCTCATAATTAAGGGTTTTTTATGGTGTGATTTCGATTTTCAGTTAGTAAGCCTGAAAGTTCGGGAGACTTCATTTCTTACTGTTTGCTTCTCGGTCAATTTTATGAATGTTTAGTTATCTAGATTAAACGTTATGTTTTTACTTAAAATTTCATTGTTTATACCGTTCTGCGCATACAGGGATTTGTAGGGTTCATTTTTCAATATGAAATAGTGTAGTGCAAAAATATGCCTAGATTTTTAAGTTCTTCTCCATTTGGAATTATTAGTATTTTTTGTTTGTTTGTTTCCCTTGTGGAAGTTGTTTATCACTACTAGCTTAATTGCTCTGTTATTAGTGTAATTCTGCTAAAATATTAAGTAACTTTTATATTTTGGGAGCAAGGAAATACAGGGATAATGATTTTGTTTAACTCCCCGCTCTGAGCCATCTGATGTTTGTCTTGCTATTTCCAAGATTTTGTTCTGTTTTGATGTGCTATTTATTCCTGTCATTAGTTGGTTATAAAAGAAAGATGCACTTTTTTAATCCTTCCGAAGTGCTTTGATATAAATTATGTATTAATTAAAAATTTTGACTTCTCGAGTTGATGAAAATATGTAAAAAACAAAGTCAGGTTATTATATATAGAAATTAATAATTCTGTTTTTATGTCCACTGTTGACATTATGTCTAGCGAAACGTCCAATCTGTATGAAATGAGAATTGCTATTATAAGACTTTATTACTGTTAAGAAATTTAGACTTGGAAAGCCTAACTTGACGAAAGTTTTGAAGGTAGTGGCATCATTTGCAATTGGTTGTGTGAAATATTAGGTTCAGAAATGGTCTCTGTGCAATCTACCAAACGTGTGAAAAGAACCAGAAAGGTATGAGGCATTCATTTTTAAAATTTGTGGATTTGTATACCTGAATACATAGTTTTTCCACTTTTATTTTCGTGTTCAGTATTTTTTCATTAGAAATTAGATGTTTTCTCTTTAGAAAAAGCAAATACCTGCAGTCTGTTCTTCGGTTCGACATTTAGCAGGATCAAAGTGGTATGAGTATGGCGATGAAGAACGTACTCAAAAGCCAGTTTCCGATTTCGACCATCTCAAAAAAGTTGAAGAGCAAGCAGGAATTTTTTTGAGAATAGACCGTGATTTGCATATGCAAGGTATGTGCGTTTATTTAGCATGAATTTTTAGGATATTGTGAGGGCCGTAATTTCAGGATAAAACTTTGAAAATATTGTTTGTATTCAGTTTCAGTGTAACATTATTTATCATGCAGCTTTCTTGTGAATTCTTCAAGCAAGTCTTCACTTTTTATTTAGTGATGAAAATTTGCAGAACATGCTAAAAAAAATGAAACTGAGTCAGCTTGGCTCAATACAGTGCTGATTCGTGGTACTGCTAATGATAAAGCGATTGCTATGCAAATATTGACTCAACGACATCCTCTTCATTCTCTTCCTCACATTGCTGGATTAATTGCTATGATCAGCAAAAAAAATACAAGAGAAGCGTTTTCTGTTCTAGGTGGGTGGTGCAAAAACAATGCAATACCAATTTATCTGCAGTTGTGCTTCTGAGTTGTGATCGTGACTTCATAAATCTAATTTTCAGGGTTGCTGAAGGATTTGTTCATTGAAGAACTGTTACCACCGAAACGAAAGTTGATCCCATTTTCATCGGTATAATGTTTTTGTACACTGAAAGTTATTTAATTGGTTTTAAGACATTTTGATTCTTATCATGAGAATTTTTAGAGGCCGGTTGATCAAATTAATCCTTCAATATTAAATGAAAATCACAACTTGAAAAGAAAACTCATGCTTTGGAAGTTTGAGTCAGATTTGAAAGCTCTCTATGAGAAGTTCATCATTTCACTCGAGGTATGCATTTATAATTTAAAAAATTCTTTATTTTTTAAAACTAACTTACTAATATTTTTTGGAATTTCAGCGATTAACAGGAATAAACGTGGAAAAATTGAGTATATCTGCATGTCGTTATTCTCTAGAACTATTACTTAAACGCCCGGAGCAAGAGCAAGTATGGTTTTATTTCGTAAAGTTGTGGGGAGCAATAGCTTGAAAAGTTTTGGTTATAATGTTGTGAGGGGATGATTTATTTTATCAGAAAGTAATCTTCTTTCATGTCGCTGCACACATAATCTGTATATTTAATTTTTGATTAGAAGCTACTCTCTTTGCTTATTAACAAACTTGGACATCCAAACAAAACTTTGGCTACACGTGTTTGTGGATATTTGCTGCAGCTCACTAGAAAACAACCCCTAATGCGAACTGTTATTGTAAAAGAGGTTGAAAGGCTTGTCTATCGCAAGTTAGTCCTTTTAATTTCTGTATTTCAAATATTCATAAATTTGAATTTTTCCAATTGTTCTCTTAAAAAATAAATGATGGGTTGTGCTTTTTAGTCTTGGTATAAACTTTTTCGATGCAGCAAATATTTTCTAGGAATATTGCATGCAGTGCACAGCTTCATGCAGTTTCATTTTTGTCTCAAATAGATCTCAGTTCTTGTGACCCAGTACTGCCATCAACATTATTAAATATATATATTGGATTATTTCGCATGTTCGTTTCGAATAAGCAGTTAGATGACAGGATACTGGGTATCTTGATTTCTGCTACTAGTCGAGTTTTCCCTTATGCAAAAGGTTTCATTTTCACTTTTAAATTGTATTTTCACTCTAGTTGGCTAGTTTCACTCTATATAAAGTTATGCTGTATTAACTTGCTTAAAGTATGTCTTTTATCTGTTTTAAATACTTTGGATGAGAAGTATAGCCTTATTACTCAGGAATTATTTCAGATGATGCTGTAAAGCTAATGAAAGAAGTGGATACATTATATAAAATTTTGCACCAATCAAGTTTTTCAACATCGGTGCGGACTCTCAAGTTATTATACCTGCTTCTGACTTCAAGGTTATTCTTTTAATTTTCTTTTTAGCAATGTTCTTTCTTCTTTTATGTATTAGTCTTAAAAAACTTTTTATTGTCTCATTTCCTCCTAAATATTTCTGCAGTAGTTAGTTTTAATATATCCAAAATTTATTCACTTACAAATCGTAAACATTATAAAAAAGTTGTTTATTATTAACGTACAATTGTTAATTGCAGAGAAGGGATTTGCGATCGGTTTTATGCAGCTCTCTATCGACGAATTATCGACTTCGGACATAGTACAAATGTTAATAGGCAGTTATTCTCATTACTTCACCAAGCACTTGATTCTGATCCTGAAGAACATAGAGTGATCGCGTTCATAAAACGCCTTCTTCAGGTCTGTTTGCTTATTTTTTTATTAGTTCTTTTTTCTGTTGTAAATAAATTGTGCTTTAAAAATTTTTAAATCAAATTTTAGTTTGCGTGCAATTGAAAAAAATGAAAGTAACAGAAAAGCTCAGTATTTAGCTTTTTAGTTTCTTCACTACTCTCATCGATACTTTAGGATTAGATTATAAATAAAGCAGCTTTTCTAAATATCTTCGTGTAATCAAATGTTATGGTTTTCGGTGTGTTCACCAGTTCTGGTTTTGTTTATTTGCAAAGCTTTTTCTATCTTGCTAAAATATTTTCAGTTGTCTCTGTGCAGTGCTGCTCCTGTTGCTGCTTCAACGCTCATTCTAATATCCAAATTGATTGATAAGCGGCCTTCATTATTAATAACACAAAAAGCAGCTGATGTACGTAGTTCATTTACTTTAAACTTAGGTTATTGTAAAAAAGTCTTATCGTAATTTTATTATGCCATTATACATTTAAAGCTTTATGTACATATATTTGAAACAGAAGCAGTTTTTACATTGACTATAGTCCCTGTAATTCTGAGCAAAAAATGTTTTTACTGCATATTCTCATTATTATGGACACTTTATTGATGTTCTTCTAGATTACAAAGTTTGATGAGGATATGAAATCAGAAATCGATAGTGACGATGATGAGGTGTATCAGGACTATGATCTTGTTTCGCCAGTCAGAAAAAATCAGGCCTTGGCCTTCGAAGAAGATGCAAAGGTGGATGAAGCTGTAAAATGTAACGGAGTAGTTGGATGGGTTCATAAAAATAATATCGGTAATTGTAATTTTTTTCAATGAAAAGTTTTATTGTTACTTTTTGCGTTTCCTTTTGTATTATTTATGGCATCAGAAATTTCAGTCGTAGATGTAAAGCTGAAAGCAGTTCAATAGATAAAGAATCTAACATTCTTATTGATTTTGCTTGTACTACATTTTCTGTAATATTTTTCTCGATGATTTTTCATTATGTTGTTCAGCTTTTCCGATATATGTAGTACTTTATTTTACATTTGGTTTAAACATTCTTGTACTTAAAGGAATATGCCGAAAAAATACTATTGAAATACTAATTAATGAGAGATTTATTCATCGTACTTTTTTCATTCCAGTGGTTAGAAATAATGCATTGACCTACGATCCACTAGCTAGAAATCCTTTATTTGCTAAAGCTAATAAGAGCGTTGCTGCAGAACTAACGTTGTTGAGTATGCATTATCACCCTTCTGTTGCTGTTTTTGCTTCAAATTTATTAAAAGTAAGTGAAGACTTATTTCAACGTTTAAGTTTACTGTAAGTAGTTCTAGTTTTGTTATATTATGAAAAAGGCATTTCTTATATGTTCAAATGATTTAGAAGTCATTGGGAGTTTTCGAGACTAAATAATTATTTTGATTATTAAACCTCAATCCTTTTTGAACTCGATTATATAGGGCGTAAAAGTGCGCTATGATGGTGATCCGTTCCATGATTTCACACAGATGCATTTTCTTGATCGTTTTGTATTTCGCAATCCGAAAACGAGAGATGCATGTTCGAAAGCTGTGCGGCGCAAAGCTTATGATCCACTAGGAGTTAGGAAGCTTTCAGTTCTTTCGAAGGTAATATAGTTTTGTCGATGATTTTTCATTATTTAGTTAGACTTGTATAGGAAGTACTTTATTTCACATTTGGTTTGAACATCCTTGTGATTTAAAGGAATATGCCGAAAAAAATACTAATGAAATACCAATTGATGAGAGATATATTCATCGTTTTGCATCTTTGAAAATGAAAATGAAGAAGCGCAGCGAAGACAAACGTGCTCATGATAATGATGACGATGATATTGAAAGTGTCAACTCCGATGAATTTGATTTATTGCTCAGTAATTTTTCACTGTTTCTCAAAATTTTCTGCCCTTCAATAATATCTCTCCTCAGAAATCTAGTGATTGGTGGTGGTATTCTTGTTTTTATTCATGTGATGTGGTTTTTATGATTTCTGGATACAAGTAGAGACAAATCATTAACTTTTCTAGAGCGTTTCGAGCCTGGTGAACGAAGAGAAGTATTTGACATTGATTTTGGACAAGAATTTAGTTCTGAAAAAGAAACGAAGGAAATAGGAAGCCGGAAACGATCCCACGAAAATAATGTAGATGAAGAGGATGATTTGAGCACTGATGTAAATGATGAGATGGAAGAAGGTTGGACTGAAGAGGAGATGGTAAGAGCTTTGTTGCCAAAATCGAAAGGAATTTTGATATGCCCTTTATTATAAGAATGCAAGAATTTTCATTTTTTAGAAATTAGTTTTTAGTCGTTAATAAGCTTTGTTATCTGCAAATATTGTTATAACTTTGCTGTGATACAGCTATTTACTTTATAGAGTGAACCAGAAGATTCAGAAGTAGAATCAAGTGATGATGAATTTATACTGCAAAAGAAAGCAGCTGATGACAGTGGTGATTCAGATGATGACCTCAGAGAACATCTTGATTACGGAGAAGATGCTGCAATGAGTGCTGATAAGGTTTTTATCTTTTATATGCACAATATTTTCCAGAATTCTTTCAATCATACCAAATATTTAGGTTTGTTTTGTATCAAAAGTAAATGTTTTTAATTCTTAAATGCTTTGCAGTTTGCGACTATGCTCGAAGAAGAGAATGAATCACGTTCTAGGGAATCAAGAAGAAAAGTTAAAAAACCTCGAGGATTTAAGAAACGAAAAAAAAAATGATCATACTGTTTGCAGTGATTTCGATGAGCTACATTTATTTTATTTTTCTAATAAAGTTATAGAGATACTTGATACAGTGACATGACATTTAATTAAAAAAGAAATTGTGATCGTATTAACTATAGTGTGTTAAAAGGCTTTGATTAGAGCGTTCAGGATATTAGTCAGGCATTTCATTTTGAAACCACTGTTCAATAATTTCTTGAGCGCAAGATAATAATTTTCAGTGCATATATACTCGATGACACCATAGGAATTTGAATTTTTCTGTTTTCACTACTAATTTAGTGCATATAATTATTGTTTTTCTAACTACACGTACACTGATCATTTTAATTCGTAATGAAGAATTCAAGAAATTCCATGCCAAATTTTTGAGTCATTCCATGACAATTAGACAGCTTTATCACTCCTGCTTGTAAGTTTTTGCCTGCAGAATATGTTCTGGGATATTTTTTTTCTGGATCACGAAAATTAATTAAGTCTATTCAAAGAATTACCAGTAACAAACCAAATATTACAAGTCATAAAAATAGATGAATAAATTTGAAATAAAGAGGATATAGACGTGGGAAATATGAAATTCCTGATGTTACTTTTGGGACAAATTTGAACGTCATCATATGTATATTTGTGAATTACTTATATGTTTAGATGAATTTTACAGGCGTTGGGGAACTACACTTTCTTGTTTTACAGAAACCAAACGAAAAAATTTCGCCAAAAATATTTCTTTAAACTTGAAAAAAGTACCTAAAAGTTAGATACTGGAATGAATTGGACGCAAGAACCAATTGCGCCATGTATGATTGCACTCACTGAATGCAATTTATTTATCATGGGTGTTTCAATTCATTTCATGATTTTGTAGCTCAAATATCAGCTTGTAGGTAATATCACAGTTGAAAGCATCTCATTAATGAAGTACTACAAGATGTACTAGCTACAAATATTATATCCATTAAAATATGAGGTTAGTTTCACATAGAAAAAGTATTTTTTTATCTAACCGGCGAATAAAAAGCCTTTTATCCCCAATACGTTGTTCATCAGTATTTCAATCAAACAAATCAAAAATTTCATGCTTAGCAAGATCATACTTGGGGTTGCCAAAAATTTACTTATCTGAAAATCTTAAACTAACAGTAGTATTATAACCATGCAACTCATAAAAGTCAATAGCAATAATATTAATGACAATGATA